TTGCTACAAAAGTCAGTTTGGCAAGTGCTATAAAGAATACTGCCCGACAGGTATGGTATCCATCTGAGCAAAGGGGGACTGGTCCTCCAGCTATCTTGGCTGCTGCTAAAATTTAATACCTAAATGTTCAGGCAGAGAAGGGAACAAAACCTGCAATTTCCACAGTGTGGATCCAACTCCTAAAGTAAGGGCCAAAAAGGGGGGGGAGGGCAGAGGCACTTCTGCACCCCTTACAGCTGACAAATTCCTGACTCTCACAGCAAGTCTGAGGGAGTGAATCCCCAGACTGAGACAGGCACCTTCTGGCAGTCTGCAGCCGAGTGTCCATCCTCTTGAGAGGGGACGAGCTCAAGATGTACTGCTCTCCTCAGCATTTCTGACTGGCTAGCTACCTTCTAAGCAAGGTTTCTTTTAGGATACTGTTCTTGGTTGCTCAGACCTCCCTACACACCATTTACAAGGTCTTAGATACCTAGCTTAAGGCTGTGAACCTGATTTGTAGGCACCTAGGGGTTAGGAAACACACTGCTCAGAGTTAGCATATCTGTATCTTTCCATTCACCCCTCCTCCCTGACAGTGTATCTGAAGCCTCACATGCTCCATTATACTGCGTAACCTACTACTAATTTGTGAACAGCTGCTCCCTTCATAGAGACCTTGTAGGAACAACTGCCCTGGAGACAGTGAGGAATGGGAGCACTGAACGATGGAATTACACACACTGCATAAAGACTGGTGGAGCAAGAAAGTGCACAGCAAGAGAAAAGGGACAGGTAAGGCACTGTACCACACACAAAAACCTATATATTCTGATTCTGTATTTCATCTTAGGAGAGGAACTTCTAGAGGTGGGTGCAGTGCTCAAGAAATTGCCACGCTACAGCAGACCAGAGGCGCATCTGGTCCAGCATCAGATCCCACAGAGGCCAGAGACAGACCTTTCAAGAAGTACTGTCAAGAATAACCATGCAAAAATCTGTCCACAGGCAAAACTTATTTTGAATTCATGTCCATCACAGTATCATTTTACCTGTGAAGTTTTGTGAATGCTATGCATGATCTGGTCAGGAAGGTGAAGTTATCCTGGAGTTTAAGACTTCCTGTATGAGTGTATTTTTCTAGCTTAACAGAGGATTTCAAGTAAAACAAGCAGAGCAGGACATGATAATTATGGATAAGCAACCTCACATAAATACAGGGAAGACAATTAAGGGACAGTGGTGTTCTTCTAAGCCTCAAGACGAAGCAATGCAGCTGCCAA